TACATTTTTTATTATATAATTAAAAGATAAAACTTATTATAATATATTATATATTTATATAATTAATTTAAAAAAAATTTTTTAAAAATATTAATTATTTATAAAAGTAAATCAGAAGAGAATTTTTAGTAAATAAGCAGGCAAATTTGCTTGCGAAGTCCTACAATTTAAGAGATAATATTATAAAATCTTATATAATAAAAAAAGAGTATAAAGATAACATTTAAATTACATGTATAAATAAATTTAAATTATATGTTCTCTGCAATTTATTTTCATGTTATAAGTAATATTAAATCATGAGACATTGATATGATTTTTTTTACATATATTAAAGATATTAAAGACTTTAAATCAATGTATAAAATCTAAGTTAAAATTTATGTGTACAAATTGATTAATTATTACTAAAATAAGAAAATCATAATATTTTTTTATATAAATTACCTTTTTTATACAAAATTTATCTATTTTTAGTAATAATTTGTGCACATTTTATGTTGTGTAATATGTGCACACAAAAAATTAAATGTGCACATTGTGCACATAAATTTTATATACTGCTTTAAATATAATGATTAATTATAGATTTTATACAAATTCAAAATGAATTTACATAAATTTAAAAATGAATAATAATAATAAATAAAAATAAATAAAAATTGTTTCTGATTCTTTAATATTTAATGTAATTTTTGTGAGAATTACTTCATACTAATATATTAAAGTTCTTATAAACAATAGTAGCCAGGAAACTAAAAACATTATATATAATGAACCTTTTCAAAGTAGCTATTTTTAAATAATAAAGTATTTGATAGTATTGTTTAAATAAAAATTTTTTTCACATTATGTTATATCAAATGTGATATTTTTATTTAAGTTATACTAAAATCAAAATCCAATTCGGTATGCAGTAACAGATATCAACTAGTATATTATAAAAAAATACTTTTATTATAACAATTATTATAATTTATTAAGAAAATTTTATGGCTTTATTAATGATAAAGAATTCAATTAGTATATAAATATATGAAATTAATTTTTAAAAAAAATTAATTATAAAAATTTTTAAAAACTTATTAAAAACATTTAATGAAAATGAGTTTTGCAATAAAAAGTAAAAGTTTTTTTTAAGTTAATGTTAAATTTGGATTTATTTTAATAAAAATCATATTTAACTTATAAAGTAAAATTTTAATTTTTTGCAAAACTTCTATATATTAAACTAACCTTTTTATATAATAATGATATTATTAAAATTATTATTTAATATTTTATAAAAAAATTAATACTTTTATACTTGCTAGACAATCTAAGTAATAAATAAATTAAAAAATAAAGTTATTATTAATTAATTATTTTATATAAAATATTTTAATATTTTTACTTTATACTAAGATTATTAGGAAAAATTTAAATGTTTAACAAATTACAAAATAATAAAATAAACTTGGCCAAAACTATATTAAATATTAAAATCTTATTAAAAGCCCAACTTTATTCATCTTTTACAACTATTATTTTTAATTACATCTTTTTAATTAATTTTTAAGAAGAAGTGAGAAAGGAAAGATTATGTATGACCAAATAATGTAAAAGAGAATATTGAGAAATTTGGTAAAAGTTAGAGTTTTTTTTTTTGTCATTATGAAACTCATTTGAAACGAATTTATAATCAAAAGTTGATTGAATTGTCAAAAGAAAAAAATACAGTTTCAGACGGTTAATTTGCCCAAAAAGAATTCGTATAATTCCATCTTCTAGATGTTCTATACGGTATTATCATATCAATCATATCAATCAAAAAGGTGAGTGGTTTTTTTGAATCCATGATATTTGCAATCTCAAGATTTAAGCACAAATCTGCAAGTTAGGTATCAAAACAAAAATATATTATTACAAGCAAGCTTGGAATCAATCATACACGCATACGATCTTTGCAACATGTGTTTGATCCCGTTAAATTAAAATTTGTGCATAAATAATATTTTTAAATAACTTATGCAAATTATAAATTCATCTAAATTTAGTGATCACTTTTCTTTATATAGCAATAAATCTCAAAGAAAATACTTTTTTATGTTTTTTATTGAAAGAAAATTTTTTTTAAAAGGTTTTAGAAAGTCCGTAAACATTAAGAAAATCAAAAACGAAAAACGTTATTCTACGAAATTGTACAATAAACAATAAACAATTGACTTGTGATTCTATAAGATACCCTTGAAATCTCGACCTGGCTACATTATAAATCATAACAAATCATTACTTTAACAACTTTATTAGGTAGTAATTTTTTTTGAAGTCACGCAATTGTTTAAATTACATGTATTTGGTGCATCGTGTCACATAAAACATTAAAATTGTTAGAGCTGCAGGGAAAGGATGAATCATCATCTAATATACCTATATATATTTATTTATATTTAATTTATTAGTTTAAATATTACTTTTATAGGCCTTAATTGGCGTTTTAGTGAACTTTTTTACGAAGGATTTACCTCCAGAGACTTACTCTAGATGAATCGATACCGAATATAAAATAAATATAAAATAGGGTGAAGGAAAAAAAAAGTAAAAAAAAATTTCCTCTCTATTCTGTATATCAAACTTTTTTTTTTTTTTACAACGAAGGTATTTCAAAAAGTTTTTTTAAAAAAAACAAAAAACAAAAATAATACAAAAACAAGTGTTGGTTCATATGCCAAACATAGTGAAACCAAAAGAATCATTTGATCCTTTCGATGTAGACACATCAAATAAAATAAATAAAATGAATATTACAAATCTACAAACGTGTGAAAATACAAGACCACAAAATCTTCAACAAATATTTTCAAAAACTTTTCAAAGAACACAAAAACCGGTAAATGCAGAGGATTCGTTTATAGAGAAAGATAGCAAATCATCAATTCCATCTTTACGTAAATATTCATCAGCTACAAATCTACATCAAACGTATGCACCTCAGAAACATAAGCGAAGCATTTCAACGGTTGTTCGAAAAAACAAAAAAACGGTAAATTTACACGAAGGAAATCCTTTAATAGAGCCTGACAACAAATCAATATCGTCATCATGTTCTAAAAAGAAATATTTATTTCCATCTTTACGTAAATCTTTATCCGCTACAAACCTAAAACAATCATATGAAAATAATAGTGCGGCACAGAAACTTAAGCGAAGCATAACATCGGTTGTTCGAAAAACCAAAAAACCGGTCAATGTAAACGAAGTGGATCCATATATAGAGACTGATAACAAATCAATATCGTCAACAAGTTCTAAAAAGAAATCTTTATTTCCATCTTTACGTAAATCTTCATCCGCTATAAATCTACACCGATCGTATGAAAATGATAGTGCACCACAGAAACTTAAGCGAAGTCTTTCATCGGTCGTTCGAAAAACCAAAAAACCGGTAAATGTACGCGAAGTGGATCCTTATATAGTGACTGACAACAAATCAATACCATCTTTACGTAAATCTACTTCCGCTGTAAATCTACATCAATCTTATGAAAATAAAAATGCATCGCAGAAACTTAAGCGAAGTCTTTCAACGGTCGTTCGAAAAACAAAAAAAACGGTAAATTTACACGGGGGAGGGTTTCCTTTTACAGAGACTGACAACAAATCAATACCATCTTTACGTAAATCTACTTCCGCTGTAAATCTACATCAATCTTATGAAAATAAAA